GGTGTTCCTGCGATATTTTGTGGGAGGGCTGGCGTGGGTTGCTTGGAGAATTTATTAAAGATATCAAAGATGGAGAAGATTCCAAATCATTTAGAAATGCTTGCTTAATGGATTTAGCACGATGCGTATTCTCATTAAGAGGTCTAGGCAAAATAATAAATGAGGTAACCTACCTGTCATTACTTTTCGCTATACGAGAATTTATCTGACCGCTTCCCATCATGTACTCAAATGTTTTTACGAGATTAGCAACAGACGTTTCAGTATCCGTCATAATGAAATAGTACATACAATGAAAGTAATATTTGGAGACTACATACTCATAGGAGAACGGTCCGTACAAGGTCACGGAAACAATCACACACTTCAATAACTTGCCATTTAATTAACAACCATAAAACAAAAGTTTTAATTAAATGTTTTTTATTACTATTTTTAATTTTAATAAAATTTGCTACTTGTTTATAATTCTTATAATTTTATTTTGTATTATTTTTAGATTTGTTTTAAATGTATATTTTTTCCGCTTACTTCTATCCGTTACCTAAGCCGTCGCTACTGGCTCCGCGATGGGAGTCGATGTATATATCATGAATAGAGTGGTCTGGGACGAACTACCTCCTCACATTCGTGAACATCTTTCAAATGAACAAAAAGAATACGAGAAGAAAATATTGATTTTTAGCTTTAAATACCAATTAAGATATTCTAATAATCTTGTCGCTAAGGTTTGACTATATCTTAATCAATTTCAGGTTTATAAAAATGAAAAGAGATACTATCAACAATTGATGGATCATAGCCTTAATCAACTTATGCTTTACCCTTATCACATACAAGATAAAGTTGTGCCAGGACTGGGTTTATCGCCTTTTCGATACTACAGAAGCATGCTGATTAAGATTATGTTAGCTGAACGTTCTTACGACTGCTTGCCAAATTTTACTGCAGCTGACTGCCTTAGACTTTTGGGTGTCGGTAGAAATCAATACATTGAACTTATGAATAGTTACAGAAGCGTTCTTTCTTCTAAGAAAGACATGCAAGAATCCCATTCAGACTTGATTTCAAATATTCTTCCTCAATATTCCATTGGTAATATTTCGATCCGCGGTTGGTACACTGCTCGGATTGGCAAAGTTACGCTAAAGGATGTGGAATTATCTTCAGACGAAGAGCGTAATCTCATTGACAAAATTATTGACAGCGAACTATCATTAGAATCTTCAGATTTTGCCTCAGCAACTAAAGGAATGGCAG